GTGACGTGTTTTCTAAAAGTTTAAACTGTTTTAACTTTGCATGGCTTTCTATACATCTCTTGTGTGAGCAATCATAATTTGTCCGTCTAAGAAATGCCCTGAATATGCATTCTGTGTGAATGGCTTGGTTTCGGTTTTAACCTAATCAAGATCTTCTACACATTGAGCTACTATAGTTCTCTAATATGAATAACGAATAACGCAGCAACTGCACGTCTCGTGGGCTAGACTAACAAAACATTAAACTACAACGTCTCATCATCACCTAACATTCGATTGTACTATTTTTGCATTCAAATGCAAATGTTTATTTTAAATTCGACTAATATTCATTTTTTTTTATTCACAATCACCTCATCACAGGCAGGCACAGCACTCATGTTCGTGTTTGTGTGTGCTGTCTGCGTCACTCATAGCACGTGCCTATATCATGCACTATATCGAACATGTTTTATATCGATATCGAAGAAGGTGCACGCCGATAAATATCGATACCGTTTTATCGCCCAGGCCTATTACATAGTCATATTTTGTTTAAAATTCTGCTGCAATAGAGACCCACTTTTCAGAAAGAGTCCTTGCTACAGACTACAGCGCAATAATGCAGTGGATAAATATAGCCTACTACTGTATGTAGTGCATTTTGGTGATGTGCTTGTGTGTGTGTTTTTTTTAAATTATTATTAAAAAATGTGAATTGTAGTGTATCTAGGGTGTATGACAACGGTAGTCTTTCCCTGACACAATTTTGATTATTTAATGCTGTTATTAACTAACTGCTAATAATATATATTTGTGTAGCGAAAAGCAAACATACAATACAGTGTAGCATTAATTTGCTCACTTTTTCTCTCTTTTCGTTTCCCCCAGGAGGTCCATGAAATTCTACGCGAGTACGAGCTCAAATACTGTTTTGTGGACCGGAACAAAGGAACAGGTAATTGGCCTCCTTCAGTCATGCTTCTGCTCTCATGTTTCTAATGGTAACCGTTCTCTTCCATCTGAGCCATCAGAATCCAGACCTCTCGAAAAACACCACACATTTGCCTACTTAATGCACCTGAGATGTTAATTTCGTGTGGTGGTGAAGAGCACTTACAGAGAATTGTTCTATCTTGATGAAAGGTCTCAGCTCTGTAACTGCAAAAATGTTGCCTGTTCCTTTGAAGTAAAGAGAAGCTTTGAGGTTATTTGAGTTTGTACATTCTGTCACTGTGTTGATTTGTCCTCTTTCTATTTTTGTTCTGTACAAAATACTGAATCAAATAAGCAGTGCATTTTAGATTTCATATATAATTTTAACTTCATTATAAATAAATAATTAATAAAATGTAATATTATTTTAACTTCAGTTCATCACTTAAAATAATGATCTAATACGTCCTACTTCAACTGGATTCCAGACAATTTGAAAGCTCAGGGTGACTTCCAAAACAAACCAAGCTTGTCATTGTCATCCATGCTGAAAAACAATTTTAAGTCTAACATATGGCAATCAATTCTTGAAGATAAATAAGGGAAGATAAACATTGCTATCTTTTTTTTGGGGGGGGGGGTGTGTATTGATCCAAAAGCAAGTCAAATAGCATTTTCCTTTCAGAAAATCGTTTTTAAATCTTTCAGCTACTGTAATTATGACAGTTTCTCTTCTAAATGCAGCAATTCTCTATGAATGTTGTTGTGATGGAACAACAAACCTTTCATCAAAATTTAGTGCAAGATAGTAGATGCAAACCTGGCCAAATGTTCAACATTCTCACATTTTAGAACTGCTATGATATATATAGTGCTAGCAGCGTCTTGAAAAGTGCCACAAGTAACTTGCTTTGAAGTATTGTTGAAAAATCAGCTCTAATTTCTTCATTTTTTTCAAGATGTGGACCAAGTGGAAGGCTGAGTTAAAATGTTCTAGCATCATTTGGCATATCTTTATGCCAGTATGAAAAATTGTGAATGATCAAAGCTGTAATGCTTCAGTGTAATAGGGTTCGTCAGAGGTGAAATCTATTCTGAGTTACACAAAGTGATGTAGCCAAGTAGGACGTGTTCCTGGATCAACATTATTTGATGGTCCTGGAACAATAGTTCTATAACAGTCCTCCTTTCCCTTGAAATTCAAGAGAATAATTGATAGATAAGAACATTGTTTAAGCCTCTAACCCTACAATTTTATTGATCGATGCAAATATTTATGATTTTAATGATATAAATAATCTTTGATGATAGTATGTCTTATTCAGTATATATGATATTACATTTCACTATTTAATTAAAGATAGTAAATAAAACATTTATTATTTTTAGTGCTGGGCAATGCTTAATCGTGATTAATAATTACATCCAAAATAAAAGTTTTTGTGTATATAATATATGTGTGTGTACTGTGTATATTTATTATGTACTGTATATATAACAGACACACACATACAGTATATATTTAGAAAATATTTACATGTATATATTTATATGCATATGATTTATATTATATATAAATATATTTAATATATAAACAACATATTTTTCTTAAATATATACATGCATGTGTGTGTATTTATATATACATAATAAATATACACAATACACACACACATATATTATGTACACAAAAATCTTTATTTTGGATGTGATTATTCACAAATAATCGTTGCCCAGCACTAATTATTTTACATAATATTTACTAAAATAGAAGTGAATACTTTGAAAATGTATCAAAAGACCAATAGATGTTTTTTAAATAAAATAAAAAAAAGTTAATTAATAACACTATGCTTTGTGTTTTAATACAAAATACTTACTTTTAATACATTAAAAATACAAATTTTTTTTAATACAATATATGTTTTAATACTGTTTGCATTCAGTATACAGTATTTATTTATTTGCTATTGGTAATAACACTATGCTTTGTGTTTTAATACAAAATACTTACTTTTAATACATTAAAAATACAAATATTTTTTTAATACAATATATGTTTTAATACTGTTTGCATTCAGTATACAGTATTTATTTATTTGCTATTGTGGCAAACCGGAATGCAATATATATATATATTTGTTGTAGTTTCTGTTTACCACTATAGAAGTTTGCCCAACTATGAAAATGACAGTGGTTCATGTGGAAAAAAATTATGCTGTCCTTCTCAGAGCTGTCAAAATAAAAGTCCTGGCACTGTCAATATAAAAGTCCCATTTCCAAAACTTAACAACAGAAAAACATATCGGATGATGGTGATAAGTAAAAACTGCAAAATATCGGCTGATATATCGCATTCATTTGCCACCAGCCATAGCCAAGCCACACGTGGCTACTGATGGATTGAGCCTCAGCTGCACGGTTACGGTAATTACAGCTGCATATTTCACAAATAGGTATTTTGCACAGTCCAGTGTTAAACCTAAGTCTGATTATCAACCTGCACCTTCATGTAATGCCGGGATTCTGGCCTGCTAAATGTCATCAGTGCCTAAAACCCCTGGCAGCATTGCAAACATTCCCACATGCTCTAATTAGCAGTATCTAGGGATAAAGGTGAAACACCGTGATGATCTCATCCTCCAGCCGCTCGGGGCTTGTCACCTCCTGCCAGCACCCCAGCAGAGGCTCCGGTGTCAAGGATCAGAGTCCAGCGTGCCTGCAGGAGGAGGAACATTCCTTTTGCTCTTTAATACTTGCCTGAAATAAGTTGAACAATTTAAAAATGAGCGATTCACATGGCATATAGACCTGCTCTTGCAGTTAGAGTTGAGTTTAAGTAAAGAGCTGTGAAGAGAGAAAAAGAATGAGGAATTACCAAAGAGGAAATGAGGAAAGGCGAGGAAATATTGATAGAGACTGCAGGGAGAGAAAGCAATCAGAGAAGGACGAAAGAATGACAGCTTATATGATGGTGGAAGATGGGGGAAAAAAATGAAATCCTACAGAAAAATAAATCTTGTCTCGTCTGGTGTGCAGCCCGGAATTGAAATATGCTGTGATATTCCCAATGCTGGAGGCTTACAGTAAGGGAATTACACACCTCCCCCTTCTTCCTCATCTTATAGTGGCTTCGTACTGCATTATGAATGTTCCTAGGCTAAATGATCTGAACATATGCTTTTAAGGCCTGCCAGGGAAGAGCTGCCTTCCAAAACAAAAATAGTGACAATAGTGGCAAGCTCTCATTTCAAACGCCCGTTCTTAGAAGCACAAGTCCGTATTATTACTGATCTCAGAGATGTCACGTCTGACACGTCTTTATTTCAGGTTTTGCTGGCTATATCTTTGTAAGGTTGTTTCAGTCTGCCATAAATGTAAAAGTGTTTCTTGGGAAGAATATGGAGGTCCTCAGTGATCAGACTCCATGTTATGCACCTGCCACAAAACACAAAGACATATAAACATCATCTAGACAAGCTGAGTTTAATAAAATTAGCCCAGCTTTGCATACACACTCTGCTCTTTCATTTCTAAAGCCTATTTAGAGAGGTTAAAATTCTCCCCCATGACTTTTAAATGCCAAACAAGGCTTTCTCCTTTAGCAGCTGCAGGCCCTCCAGCTTTATAAATGTTTGGATTGTCTGGAAAGAGAGGCAGCTCTTCTTCAGAGAGGCATGTTCAGTCCGTGGAATGCTGATGATGTAAATTATGGGCCGTACTGCCTGACCTCTACTATCTATCTCATGTAGATTGATGCAGACGTGTTGTGTTTTACAGTTTTTTTTAGGGCTGTAACTAGCATGAAGCAAAGATGACTACATCTAGGTTGCGTAGTTCAGAACTTGCATACGCTGAGTAACTGCCATGCAGATAATAACAGATAGCTCTCTCAAGCTATATTAGACATCTTTGGGCGGCTCAAACAAACAGAGCAATGTTTTGATAGCATCGCCGAGCCAGTATGTTTACACTATTTGGTTAGATCAACATACGACATTCCACTCAAGTTCTTGGGATAAATGATAAGATATACACTACTGTTCAGAAGGCTGCATTCATTATATCAAAAATACAGTAGGAACGGTAACATTGGGAAATATTACTACAATTTAAAATAACTTTTCTAATGTATTATATTTTAAAAATGTAGTTTATCTTGTAATGACAAAGCTGAATTTTCTGCAGCCATTATTCCAGTTTGTAGTGTCACATGATCTTTCTGAATTTATTCAAATATTCTGATTCAGTGCTCAAGAAAAAAATTCCTTCTATTATTACTATTAAAAATGGTTCCGCTGCTTATTAATATATACACACACAAATGGACTGTGTGTGTGTGTGTGTATATATATATAATTTCTTAACATTTTAAGTAAGAGAGAGTAGGAATAAAATCTCCTAACATTAATAAATTTACTAACACTAATAAAATCTTCAAGAATAAAATCTCCTAACATTAATAAATCTACTAACACTAATAAAATCTTCAAGAATAAAACCTACTAACATTTTTAAAGTCTTTTCTGAGCTACAAAACATTCTTTACTTTTTTCTTGGTTAGAATATAAGAATAAAATAGTGGTTTTGAAGAATGTTTTTCTTAGGAATGTTATTTGAATCTGGTGCCTGCTTTCTTTCTGAATGTTTTAGCAGCATGATAAAGCAGTTTCACTCAAATAGAAGAGACAGGAGGACAGAAAAGGACACACGCTTTAGAAGAAAATACATGATTTATTTTTATTCACATCTCTTATGGATGAAATAATTGTTTTTTTCTGGTAATAATCATACATAGGTTTATTGTTTAGGTATTTCTGCCCACTGGAATCTGAGAGATGCTGTTATTGCACTCAGGAGTGATGTGGAAGTACAGACTCACAGCAGCTGGAGAAAAGTGCAGAGAAGAAAGTAATACAAGAGAACCTACTGTACACACTAGTGCATTTAATTGAATTGTCAGTGTCTGGGAAGGCCATTAGGGATCAGACCTTCCTCTATCTCTCTCTCTCCCGTTTACAT